AAAAAAAAAAAAAACAAAAAGCAGCACCAAATAGAGGCATGCCTAAGTACTTTATAAAATAATATCTATACTATAAAGTGATGATTATATGAGTATTAAAATGGTTATTCACATTGGTTTCATGATAACTGTAACAATTCAAGCATCATTTGCTTTTGACACAAAAAACAAAAAGTCATATAACACTTAAATAAAATTGTATTATTTCTAATTAGGATGATGTACACAGGAGCCATTATACAGTGGGTCTAATAAATATCAAAATGAAACTTGGGGAAAACCTTCAATCTGCTTTATAGGCTGGTAAAATGATACAGTAATGATTCTTATTTTCCTCCCCAGAATAACACCTAGCAGGAAGTCGGGGGAAATGCTTGACTGAGGAAACCAATCACTTCTCAAAAATCTATACCATTTTAAATTTATCCAGGTTAAACAACTTCTCTTTAAAATGCTAACCACAGAACAGTAAATACAGTATGTTCACATTTATACTTTTAGAAGACTACTGTATTTGTATGTACCTACATACAAGTCCATGTAAATGCATTTTTAAAAGTCTGAGATAGGAAATAGATAAGGACTTGGAAGAAAAGGATAAACGGGGAAACTTTTTAAGGTTTTTGTTCAAATGATCTCAAATATTCCATGTTTCAAGACTGATGAACACAAAACTTCTATAAAATTGCAGGCCCATCTTGGGAATCTAAGCCACGTTTTTCCCAACATCCCTTTTATTTAACTTTATTTAATTAAAATATATTATTTTTAAACCAGACAATTTAACATAGAGAAAGTTTCCTCTGTTTTAATGGGGAAAGCAGAGCTGTTTTTAACCCACCATATTAAAAATATAAAAATAATAACAATGAGAAGGTCAATATAAATAAGCTACTATTATATACCGGTTAATCTCATAACGATCATATTAACCAATAAATTATCATAAGCCATCCCTGTACAAGCTTTTAATCTATATAATATAGTGTAGATTCAGGTGTATTCATAGTTATAATATTAGCATTTCTGCACCCTAAAGGTTTAAAAATAACTTGATAAAAATAAAAGAGTAATTTCAAAGTTTTCTTACCAGTAAGATTATATTTTAAAAGTTAAAATAATATTTAAAATAGCCAGGCATGGTGGTACGCGTCTATAGTCCCAGCCACTCGAGAGGCTGAGACAGGAGGATTACTGGAACCCAGGCCGGCTTGGGCAACATAGGAATCTCTTAAAAAACAAAAAAGGTTTAAAAATCAAATCAGTATTTTTTATTATCAAATAATTTCAGGCTGTACTCTTGAAGCAAAAGAAAATCAATCAATAACAAGGTCATGTGTCCCAGACCAATTTTCAAATCCAACTGTAGAACCACTCAAAGAAAGAATTGTTCAGTTTATTAATTCCATCCTATAAAAAGCTGCACTAACACCAAGCTTAAAACTGCTTATTAGTATTTTATGATCAAAGTGCTGAGCCCACATTGTAAATCTTTACACCTAAATCCTATTTAACCAATTCAATATAACAATCAAAACAGCTAACAATTATTCATTCCTATACTTGCATTCAAAAGCAGTTTGGGATATAAGATACTTTACAACAAGATCAGTAAGTTCTTTATGAAAAATAGAAATTCATTTAAATTATTATATTTTATTTTTTAATTCAAAAGCTCACAATCAAGTTTAATATAATTGCAACAAAATTCCTATTCTGCTGTCTACTACTATAAATACAAAAATTATACACATGTATACAGTAATTTGAAAAATTTGGAAATTACAGAAAGTCATACCTATCTTATAGATACCTGCTATTAATATTTGATACAATAAGTTCTTAGAATTTCAGTAGTGGATCTCCTTCTCCTGTTATTGATATGATTATATGACTTTTAGGTATGTGTGAATTCTACTTACAGAGTTTCTATTATTAAGTCATCTCTGCATATATGGGCTGAACCAAACTGATTATATTAATAGTATTTGATCTCTTTTACACATGGTTGGATTTAGTTTGCTTACATACTTTTTAAAAGTTTTTACTTTTATATTCATGACTGAAATAGACCTATATATAATTTTTCTCTCTCATAATGTTTCTGTATAGTTTAAGTATCAGAGTTACACAGGTCTTATACAATGAGTTGGGAAATATTTCTTCTTTTTCTATTGTCTTGAATGTTCGCATAAAATGTAGATGATCTGCTCCCAGAAAATTTGGTAACATTAATCTGTAAAATCATCTGGGCCTAATGTTTTCCTTGTGAAATGATTTTTTTTCTTTTTTATCACTTGTTCAATTTCTTTAGCAGTTACAGGATTATTCAAGCTAATTATTTCTTGAATTAGTTCTGAAAAGTTAAACTTTGTAGGAATTAATCTATCCCTATCCATAGTAATTAGAGCAAAAATTCACAATACTTAAAAGTTGTGACATCCTTTTATCTGAATTTAGAATTAGCAATGTTTCCTAAGAGTACTAAATAACATGTCAGCTTGATTTGTTGTTTATTTTTAATGAGAGAGTAAGAATCCTGTAACAGGCCTAAAAATAACTAGAAATATCTTGGGAACCACAAAACCATAATTGCTACTTTTGACAAACAGAAATAAGTGGGCATATATTTTAGCTATGACTTACCACCGGAAACAGGGGCATCCATGAAAACTGCTCCCATTTTCTCAACTTCTTTGGCCAATTCTTTTGAAACTGCAGGATCAATAGTACTGGAATCTATTAATAATGAGCCTTTCTTCACTTTTCTACGTAAATAAATAAAAATGTAGTTTACAACTCTGAATAAACATTTCATTCAACTACCTAAAGAATCAGAATCTGCTAAAAGCTGCTAGATATCAAGGAGGTCTTTGGTTTAGTATTAAAAAACACTATTAATTAGTACAGGTTCAAAAATCTCATATTCATTTTCAGATCAATTACAGTTCAAAGTAAACTCAGACTCTCAAACCAAGAAAATCTAATAAACTACATGGTATAAATTCTGGTTTCAGGTGAAGTACACACTAACCATAATAACATAGCTATTATGAAGCTAAGATGTGAATCTAAGATATAAGCAATTTAAAACACCTATTAACTTTAAAAGGGTATTTGATAGGATTTAAATTTTTGTTTGTAAAGTAGCTGGGTCTTTAAAAAGTAATTTATTTGTCTTTCACAGGCCATATTGCAAATTTCACATATCCATGTCATTTCCACTAGGTAGAACAAACATAAGCAATTGAAATCTAGTCGTTTGCTTCAGAATGTCATATTCTTTTACAACTGTAACTTTTTACTGACAAAATATCAAACAGGTAGAAAGGAAAATACATGAATGAATCTCAAAATCTCACAAAGTCTTTTTACTCTTTAGGGTAAATTTATATGCATACACTGGTAAAGGGGAAAGCAGTCTTTTCACATTGTATTTTACAGGAATATTTAAATGGCATTCTTACATAGAATATTTTTGCTTATACTGTAAATGCAGAATATATCTACATAGTTCCCTTATTATCTCTAAGGAAGTGTCTATCTTCAGTGGCTAGGAAACTGGGACCTAAATTATAATTTATTTAAAGAACTATGGCTAACCCTTAATTTAAACTTCCAAAGTTCTTACTACAGATACACTAACCAAGAGGACACAGAATCATGACTGGAAAATTAGAACTGAATAAATTATATATTGAAGGAGAAAACAAAAAATCATTGATAAAAACTACTGAAAAGTAACATCTTTCTATAGAAAAATAACACAAAATGGTTTAAACAATTTTAGACATATGAATTGCTACAGTTCAAACACGATGCTTGGGTATACACAGAAGAAAATAGCATACTCTATTAGAGATCATCTCAGTATGTAGGTTTCATTTTATGTAACCTAAACAGAATTGTTTATCTGTCTTCTGTTATCTTCATGTTTTTAAGATCTCAAATGTTTAAATAAATAGAAAATCATCTCAAAAACTATAAACGCACTCGGTGTGCAGAAACGATCCTGACCCAGAAAAAAATAAAGACCCACCCATGAGAAGCAAATTAGAGTTCAATGTAAAGCCAAACTCTTTCAAAGCACTCCCTGGACAAAATTGTTCTGGTACCTGGCCACCATATTCCTTAGCAAAGGATAGTAATAAATGCAGGGTTATGTGTCCACAGGAGTTTTTACTAACTTTTCCTTGAGAGGTAAAACAGGCCCTAACTGGAACAGGCTAGGTAACAAGACAACTAGGATGCCTCAGGACCACACACACACTGTGGTCCTAAAGGCTCCATCCAAAATGAATGTCTTTCAACCTTCCCTGAAATCTAAACATTTATCTCACCAGTTTTCTGCCTAATATCCAAGTGTCTTTTGCTTCCAAGTTTGTTAGTTTTCCAAAGCAATTCATTTCCAAAAACCTCAAATTTCATGTATTATAGTTTCCAGAAATTAAACCCTTTCTTTTAGCCCTTCATCTATCTATAGGGCCTACCAGTTTGTTCTCCCTCTGCTGAAATTTGACAACAAAATAAATTAGGAATAGAAACCAGTAAAACCAGAAAACTAAGTTGGGAATTCAATCACTGTCGTCCTAACATAACCACAAGGGTTTGGCAACAAGCAGCAATTAATCAAAAGGTTCTTAGAGCCAAGGAAGATAGGCATTGGCTAGGAAACTCTGACCTAAATTATATTTTATTTAAAGAGCTACTGCTAACCTTTAATTCCAAATTCCCAAAGTTCTTACTACAGATGTACTAACCCAAAGGACATACAATAACTTTTTATTACATAATAAAATGTTAAATAATGGCATTCTTTCCAATGTTTGGCTTCGTTTTTCATAAAAACCTTTTTCTAAATTTCTGCAACTTATAAGGAAATTATGTTTGTAATAGCTATACAGTTTAAAATGTAAGCTTTAAAAGTCTCTTAAACATGTTACCAATGAAAGGGTAAGTTTAATGCAGGGGTTAAAAGGAAAGAAACAGAACCAAAAAAATTTATTCTCAGAAGTCACATATTTGATTTCAGTGAAAAAATAAATCCTTTACAACAAGAAACCACATTATTCACTTACTGAAATGAGAAAACAGTATAGAAATGTTTAACAAACATAATTATAATTTCCTAATAGTTCTAACAAATTGAAATTCATGAACTATCATAACAAGAAAATATTCACAGTTGAAAAATACATACTTCAGAATTCCATTTGCTCCAGAATAAGCTTCTATTGCATTGATACTGGTGGGCAGCATTGTAATAATTCTGTCAGCTTTTTCAGCTACATCTGCTGGGGAAGATACTACCTTTAAAAAAAATTGCAAAGGCACGTTATTTAAATTAAAATGTAAGCAGTTTCTACAGCACAAATAGGATTCACTTTTTATGCATGCCTATAACAGTGACAGTGCATAAAAAAACCAATCCTTGTTTCCAAATGACAAAAAAAAAAAGCTTATTGCCTGAGATAAAGGGTCCATTCCTTATATACATACAGATGCAGTTTCTGTGGAATCACATTTAATGTTTATTTTTAAAAGTGTGAAGGAAGTTGAGGGGAAAAAGGCAAAACCCAATAGTCCTGGAAATACACAGATTTCTCATGGATTCTTCCAACCTGGATTCTTAAACAGCATACTTTTTGGTATATGCTTAAACAAAGAAAAATATTCTAGTACAACAGAGCCGGTAGCTCAACTATAGGAGTCACTAGTGATTTACTGGACAGTAAAATTCCCTAGCAAAATCTCAAGCCCCAATCACCACCATCCTTCAGTCTTTATTTTTAAGCAAAAAAAATTAAGCCTGTTTCAGAAAAGAAAAGGTCAGGATGAGGACGTGAGCACTTAACTACAGTGACTGTGAGTACTACCAGGAAGGCTGACAGTGTGAGCTACCAGAATTCACACGAGTACTACATATACAAGAGAGACATACAAATGGCATCGACGCACTCTCTCAAGCCTGCTTTAATAATGACTGCGAACATACCGGAAAGTTTCTCTGTCCATCCTCTGTATGTGTGTACACGCATGGGTAAATGCATTCACTCATGCCTCCCACCCCCAGCTCTCTCGCTCTCTCTCACGTTATATAACTTGATACACCTGGCCAGCTAGTTAGCAACCAAAGAGGTCAGAAGAGACCAGGAGCTCACTCCTTGCCTCAAACTCTTCTTTTATAGAAAGAATCCTTCACCCAATTGTCACAAAAGCTTCTCTAAAGCCTTTTCTCTTTTCGTTTAAAAAAAGACAAAGGAGATAATTGTCAGGCAGATAACTGATGACTTCTCTCCAGGATGATTTATGTATATAAAAACTGCCATATTTCTACATACATTATGTATAGAAAGTAACATATTTGCTACTAGAAAATGTGAAGTGGCACTTTGGAGTCCGAGGTGGGAGGATTTGACACCAGCCTGGGCAACGTAGTGATACCCTGTCTGTATGTAAAAATTTTAAAATTATCTGGGTGTGGTGGTGCACGCCTCTATTCTCAGCTATTTGGGAGGCTGGGGTGGGGGCATGGCTTGAGCCCAGGAGTTCAAAGTTGCAGTGAGCTATAATCGTGCCACTGTACCCCAGCCTAGGCAACACGGTGAGACAATGTTTCTAAAAAAAAAAACTGAAGTAGCATACAACATATAATCATCTCAGGAATGGGAATGCCCCTGCTTCGTACGGTGGAAGTTTATATAACATTTTCTTTATACCTTTATACTTTATACATCTGATGAAAGTGAAAGAATAGGAAGCCAAACATAGTGTGTTATCTAAATATTATGAGCTAGAAGCAATTACATTTCAATTTTCCAAGAGACCATCAGCCCTAAATCAATTTCAGGATAAATGAAGTTTTAACAAAAAGCAATTTTCATAAGTCATTCTTTAAAATTTCAGACAATCAAGTATCCTAGCATATTGTGTATTAACAGGGTAGGAAATGATATTATAAAATGCCTCAGACCCTAAAATTAAAAAAAAAAAAGATATTATCTTTCTTTCAATGTTTCATTCTAAAGAAAATGAAGCATTTTAGAGTCTACAATGAGATACACTCAACATGTATACTTTGATATATAACAAGGATTTGCCACAATTCTGAAAAGTAAAAAATTTTTCCATAAATTACAAATAAATGCTTAAGTTACATGAAAACCTTTCCTATACCCACAAAAATACTGAAATTCAAAAAGAGGGAACTATTTCCTGGCAAACAATTCAAGTTTACTCAAGAAAAATATAGCTTAGTAAAAAGAAGAGATGAGAAAAAGTTGTAGGAGTCATAATTCTTTACTCCTGGACTGTATCAAGAATATGGGTTACTTACACAGTCCCATTTGCTCATCCCTACTCTAATGAAGTAAATACAATGCAAAACAATGGTATAACTTTCAGTGGCCTTTCCTTTTATTACATACAGCTCCATCTTTCTAGATCTTTCAGGGACCATCAGTAAGCCCTGAGGTCTAAGAGTTAATTTCATACCTCCTCTTAGGAACTGACAGAGTTATCTTCCATCGAGAGAAATTCAATTCTATCTACATAACTCCTTGAGAGGTGCCCTGGAGGGCACCAACAATTAGCTCACAGATTTAAGGGTGCTTCACACCTCCAAGCTCCTCAAGCCCCTGAACTGGCAGTGCCAATTCACGTAACTGCCAAGTGCATGGGGTGGCCAATCAGCCCCCCGCATCCCTAGCATCTGCTTCTTGGGATGGCAGGGTTGCCAGAGTACTGCTAACCCCTCAATTACATAGGAAAGTAGTGTCAAAGCTCACAGGCCCGGAAAAAACACACAATGATAGTGATAGCTGGAATGTCACCACCATACTAGCCACAACTGCTCTATATCTAATGACCGTATACATTTGGTACATCATAATAATAGTTTCTAATTTGCACTACAAAGGCATGTTTATTAGACAGATAAACATTCAAATATTCTTGCCATAGATGTCATAACTTTCAGACTCCGAAATAATTGACTGACAAAATTTGGCCATGACTCAAAAGCTTGGGGGGAAAAAAACCCAACCTTGTTGCCAGTCTGACACCAATCACAAAAGCCTTTAGGAGCCAAACTAATTAGAGTCCCTTCAATTACATTTGCTAATTGAATGGATGAGCAAAGACAGCATGGATTAGTGTAAGGAACACTAATTTGGGAAGCCAGAGATCCAGGTTTAGTTGCAGCTCAGCCAAGAAGTCATATGTGATTTTGTATAAATCACTGAACTTCTCCAGCTTCAGTTTCCAAATTTATAAAATAAAAATAGTTATATGGGTTCTCTTTCAGGGTTTCTATCTCCAAAGTAAAAAGGAAACAAGCAGAGATATTTTTCATATTTAGTAATTTTAAGTTTAGGAAGGTATGGTCCCTATGAACAGGACCAGAAGCATGTGCAACAACTCAGTACAAATGGACAGCATTAGCCAGACGCATACTGTGCAAGTCTTCAACGCCTCCACACCTGTGGACGATCACTGGCCTAGCTGACTCTGGGCCAAGGCTCTGTTCTGATTGCCAAGTCTGTCCCAGACTAGATCTCCTAATTCCAGTTGCTCGTTCTTATACTATTGTGAATTAAGACGACTCTACTTTTCTATTATCTCAATTTTCACTACAGAAAATTGGTTCCCGTGTATATCACAACCCTACGGTCTTTAAGTACTCCTATAGCCAATTTCTCTAAATTTAACTTTGATTTACCTGTATGCTAGTATACATCAATGACAGATGTGTAATACAGACTGGATAAATTAAAGATAAAATCTGCTTTGCTAGATGGGGAGGGGGGAGAAGGGCCAAGAGTAATTTGAAGGCACTGCACCTTTTGTAAATATCCATGGGAAGGAGACAACTGTTACCTAGCTGCTTTATGCAAAGAGAAAAATCTTACTGTCTCTTCTAGACAAAACAGTCACATAAGTTCAGCATTGCTTCCAAGTAAACCAGATGGGTAACAGAAATGAAGAAACGAGATGAATGTGACCTTGTTAAACTTGCCACTCTTGTGTTTTTTAATCGTTTAAAGTAGAAAAGTACACTGTTGCTTCAAAATGACACTACACTTAAAAAACTGACAAAAACGGTTTGTGCCTCCATCTTGAAACATTTGGTCTACAATGATGGAGCCCTCTCAGTAAGAGGCTTTTAAAGTTCTCATTTAATAAGACCTGAGTGGATGCCAGATTAGATCCCAAGAGATTTATTTAACCAAACACGTTCAGCCTTACAACCCAGGAACAACAAAATGGTTTCCAAGTTTTTAAAGAGAAAAGAGAATCTAATTAAGCTAGTTTAATCAGAAAACTCACAAAGAAATGGTGCATACATCCCAAATTTTTGGCACAGACCAGCAGCATCTCCAAGGAAAATCCTAGACAATGAAAACAAAGCACAAGTCGCATGCCTTTCACGCTAAGGCTTAAATTAAAAAGAAAAACCAGTATCTTCCACAAAATAAAAGTGGTATGAAAGGGACAGTGCAGAATAGATTCTTAAAAAGGGACGCTGTCAAATCACTTTATCTCCTAGTTCAGTTTTAATTTTTACCATCACACTTTCACTTAAAAATGTCTACATATTGCTTCTCAGCCTTATGACTGAGATCATATAAAAATATGTCTACAATTCTCTTCCACTGCACTCTAGCCTCAGTAACTCAGCCGAGACAGCGGTGTGTCTGTATGTGTGGTGTAGAAGAATAAAGATTTTGGAGAAATACGGTATCGCAACCAGTAACAACAACAGTAGTAGCAGCAACAGCAGCAATAATAGCACTATGTGCCAGGTTCTCTAGGACAAAGAGGAAGGTGCTATTATTATCATTCCCATATTATAAGATGAGGAAATTTATGCAAAGAGAGTTTAAGTTATGTCTAAAGTCACACAGCTAGCACATGAGGGAGCTGAGATTTGAGCCTAGACAGTCTGGTTCCAGGGTTTGTTTCTAAACCACTACATTCACAATTTATTGATTCATGATTTCTAATATATGAAGGCCTGATAATTACCAGTTACATCTTGGAAAAGATGCTGAAAGTTGAAATGATACATTTATGTTTCCAGTAGAAACAAGGATATAGTAAAGGGATAATGAAATAGGCATGCCCACATTTTTTATGGAACATACACAACAATGGAATATTATATAGCCACAAAAAAATAATGAAATCTTGTCATTTGCAATAACATGGATGGACCTGGAGAACATTATGTTAAGTGAAATAAGCCAAGGACAGAAAGACAAATCTCACATGTTCTCACTCATACGTGGAAGCTAAATATTAAAAACAAC